TTGTGACCTCATGGACTGTAGCCCGCGAGGCTCTATCCATGGGATTCTCCAGTCAAGAATACTGGAGTGTGTTCCCACTGGAGTGGGTTTCCAGAGGAATTTTCCCAACCCAGGGATTGAACTCATGTCTCCTGCGGCTCCTGCGTTGCAGGCAGATTCTTCACTGCTGAGTCACCAGGGAAGAACCCTTCTACTCAGAGTTCAAAGCAAAAGACCATGTTATTTATGTGGCAACAGAATGAAAAAAATGTTTCTTACCATAGCCTCACTATAACTAGAAATTTCCTTATATCTTTGAAAAGACAAATCAATGAAATATCAAAAATGAGTAGTATATGTGACAACATAAATTCTTTAGTTCAAATGCAATATACTAAAAGTTTTCTTTCTAATCATCCAGATAAAGACATGCATCCATATATATATAAAATATATACAATCAGCTTAGCTAACTTATTGAAAATGGGCTTATCTAAATTTTATTCCTAGAAATGGAGGAAAATTGATGGTAAGATGTTTAGTGTTTCATAAAATGACATGTTACTTAATGTAATTGTTACTTAAGTTTTATACCTAGCAAAAATCCATAATAATAATAAGATATATGGTTTATGTCTGTCTATATATGCCAGCCAAGTTGACCTATTTAACCTTAGATTTGATTAAACTTAGAATTAGCTATTTATGATACAACATGACAAAATATTCAAAATATACTCATTATAATAACTTTTAAATTATACAGCTTAAATTATCAAAAGTAGGTTTTTTTTTTTTTTAATTCTGAGGTTTCTTCTACTGCTTAGTAAGGTGGCTTTCACATGAGAGGTACACAGAAAAAAATGCTTATAGAAAAAATGTTATTAGTTATTAACATTAGTTATTAGTTAATAACTAATACCATTAGTTATTAGTTATTAACATTAATATTAACTAAGCCAAATAATGATACTCTTTAGGCTAATAATATACAACAAAAAGTAATAATAATGAAGAAAGAAAACTAACTTTGGGAAGTCTTTCCTATACGCCAAGCACTGGCTAAGAATAACAATAAATAATATTTTGTTTAACTCACACAAAAATATTGCAAGATACACACCATTATCTTTCCTCAGAAAACTGACATTTTATGATCTCCCCAAATTAGGAACTAGTAAATTTTAGAGCTCACACATGAGAACCAGATTTTTGTGGCTCGAATCCCATGGCCACTATACTCTTTCCATCTGTTAATTTTAGTTTAGAGTGCAAAAAGCAAACACAATCACTTCTTTGGTATAATGTAGAACAGGAGACCTGGGTTTGATCCCTGGGTTGGCAAGATCCCCTGGAGAAGGGAATGGCAACCCATTCCGGTATTCTTGCCTGGAGAATCCCATGGACAGAGGAGCCTGGCAGGCAACACTCCATAGGGTTACAAAGAATCTGACATTACTGAAGTGCCTTAGCACAGCACATTGCACAGATAGTACTTAAAGACTCTTGAATTCAAGTTTATAGAATAAGGTAAGAGTTTGCTTTTACAATTGAATAAACATTAACATAATGTAAATTCTTGCATTTTCTAAAGATGCTAGGTAAGATTTTAGCCTTTATTCAGCTTAACTGTTACAACCACTATCATAACCACATGATATGGTCATGATCCATGATGGTTCTCATCCTTGATATTTTGGGACTTAGTGTTTACTGAGTAACTAACTACTCTGTTCTTATTATTGTGCTAGGTAATCCCCTCTGCAAATTTAACTCATTCATTGCTTACTATTTATCAAACATGATATTAATATTTGTGGCCATTATGAACCAGGCATGATAAGACAATATTATGGGTATGTTTTAAAGTAACTGCTTTATTAAAGATAACATTTCCAAGAAAACTGGGAAGTAAAACATAATCTTTCTATTATCATTTTCCTAAGAAATGGTGCTGAGTGAGCATTTGTTCTAAGTTTTATAAGCTGGCTATATTAAGGATATAAAAAGGAGAATCATGCAGTTACTTTTCAGTTTTCCAAATTGATTTTCTAATGAGTCCATAGTAGAACTGATATTTGAGTGTTGACATGCAAAAGCTGTTTTAAATCGATAGCTGGATATGCAATAGCAATGCATCCTACATACCACACTGTCATATTACCCACATGATTTTTTTTTCTTCCGAATTAATTTTATTTTCCATAGAATATGTCTTTATTTCCAATGCTTATAGAGTCCTCCAAATAAGCACAGTAATTTGGTTAAAGAATTATGATAGTTGGGTCAGGTGTTGCTTTATGTGATTGCTATTGACTTCTCATGGGCACAGTTTGGTCCATTCACTAAAAATTTTCATATTTTGTCACTGTTTCCATCACAGAATGCACAAGATTATATCCAAGTCTGCTGAAGCTTTAACTACTTGCTTCACACAGTTCTCATTGAAGATGAGAGTGTTAGCAGGGCCTTAAACATCTTCCTCTCCTCAACTTTCATGTACCCCCTTTTCCTATTTGTTATTTTGTGTGATGGTGGTTTAGTTACTAAGTTGTGTGTGACTCTTGCGACCCCATGGACTGTAGCCCGCCAGGCTCCTCTGTCCATGGGATTCTCCAGGCAAGAATGCTGGAGTGGGTTGCCATTTCCTTCTCCAGGGAATCTTCCCAACCTGGGAATGAAACCCAAGTCTTCAGCATTGCAGGCAGATTCTTTACCAACTGAGCTACAAGGAAAGCCCATTGACAGGATAAAAAGTCCAAATCAGAAGAAATTGATGAACTAGATAGGAAGGTTGAGTTTCATTTATTTGCTTTTGTTTTATGATGTTTGTTATTGTTCTCTGTTTGAAATTGATTTCCATGTGGTATTATAGTCTATGTGTTTCATTGCACTGAAGTTGATTTAATATATCAAAAGTTGTATCATTCAGCCAGAGTCATCTAATGGTGCACTTGAAATTAGAGGTACAGAATATCTTTTTTAAAAGCCCCTTTAACTAGAAGTAATATTAGACTTCTCCAACCTGGGTTTTATGACAATTCACCGTGTTAGCTGAAGCTCAAATTTATATTATCAAGAATGGAATTATTCTGTAATTCAGATTTCCCATAATCAGTTCTTTTTAATGAGTATTGCTGATGATATTAGAACTTATTTTAAACGCTTTAAAGATTACATTTTATAGCAAGAAAATGATTTTTTCATTTGTTTAAAAACAAGTAAAATCATACACTTTCACAACCTAGATAAATGTATTTTTCTATTCACCACCCAGCCCCAACAAATTCCATTCTGGTGTCAGTGGCAAATATTGCCCTGCCATAGCCTGTGGAGAGAAGAAATTAGACATTTAAGTTGGGGGGGGAATAGAAATAATGCTGGGAAATTAAATTATTATAAAATTCTGTATTTAAGAATTGAAGCAGGGCTGCCCTGGTAGCTCAGAGGTGAAGAATCCGCCTACCAATGCAGGAGACATGGGTTTGATCTCTGATCTGGGACGATCCCACGTGCTGTGAAGCAACTAAGCCTGTGTGCCCAAACAATTGAGCCTGTGCTCTAGATCTCAGGAGCCGCAACTACTGGGTCTGAACGCCACAACTACTGAAGTCTGTGCACTTGCGTAAAGCCCATGCTTTGCAACAAGAAGCCACTGCAGTGAGAAGCCCATGCACTGCAACCGAAGAGTAGCCGCCACTTGCCGCAACTAGAGAAAAACCTGCCCCGCAATGAAGATCCAGCACTGCCAAAAATAAATAAATAAATCAATTGATTAAAAGAAGAATCGAAGTAATATTGCTATTTATACTAAAGTTTATCAATAAGCTACTGTTTTCTTTTATCAGTATATTGGGACCCAATGGACTGTAGCCCACCAGGCTCTTCTGCCCAGGGAATTCTCCAGGCAAGAATACTGGAGTGGGTACCCATTCCCTTTTCCAGGGGATCTTCCCAACCCAGAGATTGAACCCGGTTCTCCTGCATTGCAGGCAGACTCTTTACCATCCAAGCCACCAGGCAAGGCTCCCCCCAACCCACAAAAATAGATGAAGTGTTATTGCTATTTTTCTTAAAGTTTATCAATAAGCTCGTATTTTCTTTTATCAGGATATTGTGTCTACGTAAAGAGCATTCTTTTACAAGCATTCAGTACAATCTTTTCCCCCTAATATCTGTTGTCTTTATTAGGTACTGTATATAATAACATTTAAAAAATTTTCTAGTCTTAGTTTAAACAACAAAAAAAAGTATGAGCAGCACATACTCCCTGATAGCCTCAACAAATGCCAGGTATGACTTGTCAACATTACTGAATGTGTCCAAAGAAACTGGTAAAGCAAATTTATTAAGTAATCAGATTATATTAGAAAATAAATATTATTGCCAAGAACCATCTTCTGATATGCTCATTTTATGGCCAAAACTGACTTATGGTATATATATTTGTACATATTTACAAAATTCAGTCAGTTGAAAGTGTTTCCTTCTAAAATATAATTAAATTCGGAGAAGACATCAAGATTCAGAGAGCTCACCTTACATTATTGTTTGGAGGAAAACAAAGGGCTGTGATATGTAATTTTTAATCCTTATTCATTGCATTATTTCTGCTAAAATCACTGGTGAAGATAGAGGTAGGAGTTTTAAACAATCTTTGCTTCATAGTCTTATGTTTGCTGTTTTTAAGTATTCATCAACTATTTATATCAGAATTATAACTACATATGTTTTCAATATTCACATACAAATATTGACTAATTGAAGAAAATATTTATAGAGTGAGATTCCTGAGGCTCATGATTTTTGGTAGGAAAGCTGGGCAAAGAGTTTGGAAACTGCTTTGGGACTTCAGTAGATCTAAGTGTACTATGGGATAGGATGGTTTCTGTGAACATCAGAATGAAGACTGGCTCACTTACTGGGGCCCTGAGGGATGAGGGGGTTCAAGCATGTTCCCCATTGAGCTGCTGTCCAGTCCCTTCTATTGTAAAAGTGTCCACCTTCGTCTTGTTTTTCAGTCCTCCACAAGCAACCCAGAGAAGTGTGTCTCTGTTTGCTAGAGCTTGGCCGGATTGCAGCCAGGTAGGTCATACTGCTACTGTTATGTAAGATGTGGACCATCTCAGAATCCAAGCAACTCAGAAGCTTGCTGGTTTTTCATTGCTGATATTTAACCTAGATGTTGAGGAGCAACTTCTTCAAAGATGATCAGTATGAACATCTCGAGAACAACTATTCAAACTAAAAATGGACCTCCAATATTCTTCACATAATGACCTTATTGTCCAGCTTGCTATGTCTAAACCTTTTCTAAATATCTTTTAAATGAATATATTTTCCCTGCAACTCTTTCTTGGGAGATTGGAGAGGATATTGTACGTGAAGTCGTATGTGACAATTACACTTCCCTTTGTGGAAAGTTGATTCCCATTATTCTCTCTCTGTCTCCCAACTCCTTCACCACTCTGTTCCTGTTTGGTCTTTAATAATTGTCAGACTCCTCTTTTGTTTCTTTTTCCTCACTTTCCCCATTTAGCAGCTGATCCCTCAGTTCTTTTTAGTTTCTATTCCTGAGTGGATGAATAGGTTTACAATTACTCTCCATATTTTGATTGGAAAAAGGCATAGAATATAATCCTTCATATGTAGAGACATCTTTGGAATATTTTTCTTCTAGAAAAGAACAGCCAAAAGAACTTGTAGAAGTCATAACCATAGGTAAATAATCAGGGGAAGGGACTTAGCCCAGCTGACTTGATTTGGTTTCCTTTCATCAAACAAGGCTTCTGACAGTTTTTCAGAGCCCAAAGAGTTACAAAAGAAGGTATAAATACTTGAATAAATCTTGGTGCAAGGTAAAACTTCAGAATTAATGAGGTGATGCTTTCTCATGCAGTCCAAGGTATGCTTGTAGTGTTGAGATAAGATGAATTAATAAGATAAAGTAAGAGCTTGCTCTGGGTGTTAATTCTCAAAAGGAAAACTACAAGGAAAATCACGGAAAATAAAATGCAAGGTGTGTACATCAGGAAATTACAGCAGTGGGCAGAAAACTTGGTGCCAATGAAAGACCCACCCCCTTTTTTTGATCCAACAGATCAACTGTAATCAGAAGTAATCCCACGTTCTTTAAAACATCATAGTCAGCATAATCTTATCAAATTGTTCATCAGGTATGGATTTTACTTTGCCGTAGTAATTGGATGAGAGAAAGATGGTTTTTATTTAAAAGCAATTCTAATTAAATAGGAATGAGGCTGCACTCAACAAGAAGTGAAAAATTCAATTTGCGATCCTTAGGGATGCCCCTGTCCCCTGCTACAGGTTCCCCAGCTTTGCTGTGGGGCAGCCTCTGGAGCGGGTCCTCTAGCCCTCTGTCCGCTCATGTCTCTCCTGCTCAGGCTTAGTTCATAGTGTCTGAGTACTTAGGACCCCACTCTCCTTCCGTCACTGTCTGGGGTCCTGAGAGGGAGCAAGACAAAGGTACCTGTTGCTTCTAAGACTCTGCTAAGCCACTCCTCCACCATGCTTAATCCTGCCAGCCTGCAGGACAAACAGCTTTGAGTCAGAGGGCTCAGCCTTGAGTCTTTGGGCTCAGCAGATATCCCCGAGAAAGGTGATCTTACAAAATAGAAGTAGAGTCACAGATGTAGGAAAACTTATGGTCACCAGGGAATAAGGTGGGAGGGATAAATTGGGAGATTGGGACTGACATATAAACTCTACTACATATAAAATAGTTAACTAATAAGAACCTACTCTAGCACAGGGAACTCTATTCTAAACTCCGTAATGGCCTTTGTGGGAAAAATTCTAAAAAGAATGGAGTTTTATATATATAAAGCTGATTCACTTTTCTGCATGCCTGAAACTAAAGCAACATTGTAAATCAACTATACTGCAATAACAAGTTCAAAAAATATGAGGGAGGAATACACACAAACCAGAATCTCAGTAAATGAGTTGCTACCCCTGAAATGCTAGAGTAAAAGGTTGTCTAGAGTTCCTGTGTATTAGATTAGTCAGAAAACTTTTCTGTGTACTTGTTTATTTTAATTATATCATTAGAATATTCTGAAATGGCTTATTCCATTTTGTTATTTTGATAACCTAAATATGTGGGTCAAATAGGCATGACTCTGAAAGTTGTTATAGAGGTAAAACAAATAGCTGAGAAAAGAAGAGAGTCTAAAGGCAAAGGAGAAAAGGAAAGATATACCCATTTGAATGCAGAGTTCCAAATATAGCAAGGGAGATAAGAAAGCCCTCCTCAGTGATCAATGCAAAGAAATAGAGGAAAATAATAGAATGGTAAAGACTAGAGATCTCTTCAAGAAAATTAGAGATGCCAAGGGAAAATTTCATGCAAAGATAGGCACAATAAAGGACAGAAATGGTATGGACCTAATAGAAGCAGAAGATATTAAGAAGAGGTGGGAAGAATGCACAGAAGAACTACACAAAAAAGATATTCATGACCCAGATAACCATGATGGTGTGGTCACTCACTTAGAGCCAGACATCCTGCAGTGTGAAGTCAAGTGATTCTTAGGAAGCATCACTACAGACAAAGCTAGTGGAGGTGATGGAATTCCAGTTGAGCTATTTCAAATCCTAAAAGATGATGCTGTGAAAGTGCTGCACTCAGTATGCCAGCAAATTTGGAAAACTCAGCTGCCGGGGCCCAGCCCCAGCAGGACCCAGGGGAGCCCTCAGGATGAACGGCGTCGGCGAGAGAGAGAGAGTGAGACAGAGCTCGGGGCTGAGTCTGCAGTTTATTTTCGCACGGCCCCTTTATACCCTTAACGACATCTTTGGGGGAAGTGCATATTGCTTACACACAGGGCATCTCAAAACATCACAGCAACTTGACCTTCAACAGAAACTGGATGTCACTCACATACTTTCGTTCTCAAGAGTCTTTCTTATCATTTGGCCTTCAGGCCTGCTAACATTTTATGGCTTGCACCTGGTGTGACTTAAGCAACTTCAGTAGCCGACCCTGTTTTTTTTATAATTAATCTGTTTTCTTTCTAATAAGCATCATCTCTTTGGGAACTAGATAGGATTACATTTTTAGAGAACAGAAATGCAAAGGACTGCAGAAACAGCAGATATGGCACAAAACAGTCTCTTAGTCTAAAAGTTAACTACCTGCAAGAAGTTGCCAGCTAATCTCTATCTAAAGTATTTTCTATTAGACACATTTGTGGCTATAATATTTGTGGAGCTTTTCTTACCCCGCGGAGGGACCTATGCTTAATAGTTTCTTTTGTTAGGGTACTCTGCTTAGGATGTTTAGAACAATCATGAGCATTTTTTGCAATGAGAGCACATATTTATCACACAAGCCAGAATGCCAGCAAAAGGGTTTGAATTGAAGCATTTCCTTCATCCCTGGCCCCTTCATAGGGTAGCAGCATCCAGGAGATTTATTAATTAGGGTTTTAAGTTGGTCTTTATTCAGTGAAAGAGGAGCAGGAGAGCTCTCAGCAGACAACACAGAATCTGCAGCAGGGCAAACAAGAACAAGAGCACAAAAGGGGGGAGGATACAGGGTGGGGTAGAGGCCGAGGCCAACCTGGAGGCTCCCTTATCCTAGACGGCCTTGCCTGTCAGGTTTTTTTCTCGTGACCTCGTCATGGACGGGGTCCCGGACAGCCTTGCCTGCCCTGTATTTTCTTCATGACCTCGTCATGGGCGGGACCTCCCATAACGGCTCCCGGCACTCAGCAGTGGCCACAGGACTGGAAAAGGTCAGTTTTCATTCCAATACCAAAGAAGGGCAATGCCAAAGAATGTTCAAAGTACTGCACAATTGTACTCATCTCATGCTAGCAAAGTAATGCTCAAAATTCTCCAAGCCAGGCTTCAACAGTAGGTGACCTATGAACTTCCAGATGTTCGATCTGGATTTAGAAAACGCAGAGGAACCAGAGATCAAATTGCCAACATCCACTGGATCATTGAAAAAGCAAGAGAGTTCCAGAAAAACATTTACTTCTGCTTTATTGACTACACCAAAGCCTTTGACTGTGCAGATCACAGCAAACTGTGGAAAATTCTTTAAGAGATGGGACTACCAGACCACCTTACCTGCTTCCTGAGAAATCTGTATGCAGGTCAAGAAGCAACAGTTAGAGCCAGATATGGAACAACAGACTGGTTAATTGGGAAAGGAGTATATTGTCATATGCGTCAAGGCTGTATATTGTCACCCTGCTTATCTAACTTATATGCAGAATGCATCATGAAAAATGCCGGACTGGATGAAGCACAAGCTGGAATCAAGATTGCCAGGAGAATAATAATAATATCAATAACCTCAGATATGCAGGTGACACCACCCTATGGCAGAAAACGAAGATGAGCTAAAGAGCCTCTTGATGCAAGTGAAAGAGGAGAGTGAAAAAGCTGGCTTAAAACTCAACACTCAAAAAACTAAGATCATGGCATCCCGTCCCATCACTCCATAGCAAATAGATGGGGAAACAATGGAAACAGTGACAGATTTTATTTTTGAGGGGCTCCAAAATCACTGCAGATGGTGACTGCAGCCATGAAATTAAAAGATGCTTGTTCCTTGGAAAAAGATCTATGACCCACCTAGACAGCATATTAAAAGCGGAGACATTACTTTGCCAACAAAGGTCTGTCTAGTTAAAGCTATGGTTTTTCCAGTGGTCATGTATGGATGCAGAGAAGGCAATGGCAACCCCCTCCAGTACTCTTCCCTGGAACTCCCATGGATGGAGGAGCCTGGTAGGCTGCAGTCCATGGGGTCGCGAAGAGTCGGACACAACTGAGTGACTTTACTTTCGCTTTTCACTTTCATGCATTGGAGACGAAATGGCAACCCACTCCAGCATTCTTGCCTGGAGAATCCCAGGGATGGAGGAGCCTGGTCGGCTGCCGTCTATGGTGTCGCACAGAGTCGGACACAGCTGAAGCGACTTAGTAGCAGCAGCAGCATGTATGGATGTGAGAGTTGGACTATAAAGAAAGCTGAGCACCAAAAAATTGATGCTTTTGAACTGTGGTGTTGGAGAAGACTCTTGAGAGTTCCTTGGACTGCAAGGAGA